CGTGGCCGCTGCCCTGTCCCCTCCCCTGGCACAGGCAGGGGACAAGAGCTGATAACAGGTGGCAAGGACACGGCAAAGCGCTGCCAGCGCCTTTCCTGCTCGCCTGTGACCTTTAGCAGCCTGCCCTGCAGACAGCGGAGGGATTAAAAAGCCACCCCTTCTCCTTTTTCCTTTTTTTTTCACCTTTTCGGGTTTTGTTTGAACTCTGAGGCATCACGGGCTTGGTGTAATTGAACTGGGATAAGTAATGCAAGTTTAATTGCCAATGCTGCTGGATCTGGTCGCCTGTGCAGGCTGATCCTGAAAGGGACCCCGCAGTGTCCCCTTGCTCCATCCCAGAGCACGTGGATTGCGTACCTACGGTTCTGGAATACCCCCAATGAAGGACAAGGGGGTAAAAAAGCCCAAGGACCTGCACAAACAGCTCTGGGGGCTCTTCCAACAGTCCTCACTGCAAGCACTTCCAGGGATGGGGCAGCCACAGCTCCTCCTGATGGGCAAGTTGGGTTTTCCTGTATCATTTCTATTTTTGGGTTCTCTATTCCTGCACTTCACACAAAGGGTGATGGCAGGTCTGAGAGGACACTCCTGACAGAGCCCACCCTGGCTCTGGGACAGCCTCAGGCTCACAGACACTTCAGCAGCAGGAGTGGTGACAGAGCAGTGATTTTCCTGAGCCACACACTCCAGTGCCAAACTCCAGGCAGTTTCTTTTTAAGATGTGTTTCAAGATCGAGGCGGTGTTAGAGGGTGTGAGACTGTGCTTGGGCAGGAAACTACTCTGACTTGGCAGCACGTGGGGGGATATGTGCCTGCTGCAGGCAGGAATTACACAGCCAGAAAATCTGATTTGGGGCTTTGTAGCTAATAAAATTACTGGAGGAACAGACCATGTTCTCACAACCATCCATCCAGACCAAATCTGGAAAATTTGGGCATGGACGCTTTTATTTATAGATATAAATGTGTCTTTCACATAAAGAATCCTCCTCTGGTGAAGTACTTTTTGCGAAGGAGCTAAAAGAGAAAGGTTGTCAATCACCCCCAGTCCCAAATCCCAGCTCCTGCAGAAATGAGGGGGAGTGCTTGGCTTGCTGAGGGATTGGTCCCAAATCACTGATAATAACTACACAGAGACCTTACAAAACCAGGGATTACGACAGGTGCTGAGTTCATCCTGGCTGGTGCTCCCAGAGCTGCAGGCGTGCTAAAACCTGCACCTGCACACTGCCTGTGTGCCCTGCCCAGCCAGGCACCAGCACTGGCCAAACACTGCGGGGGGAGGGATTGCTTCACACCCCGAAATCCTGCACAGCCCTGCCATTCAAGGGCAGAGAGAGGCACGGACACGTGAGAAACAGCAAGTTCAGTACATTAACCTGAGACACCCGTGGGTCTGGAAGGTGATTTTTTGGGGCTATGAGGATGGTGAAGGGCCAGGGGAAGCCGTGTGAGGAGTGGCTGAGGGCACTTGGTGTGTTCAGCTGGAGCAGAGCAGACTGAGGGGAGACTCGTGAGGGGTTGCAGGAGGGGCAGCTCCGACCCCTGCTCGGTGTGACAGGGACAGGACCCCAGGGAACAGCTGGAGATGAGCCAGGGGGGGTTAGGTTGGATACTAGGAACAGGTTCTTCCCCCAGAGGGTGATCAGGCACTGGAACATCACATCACAGGGCAGGACAGTTGCCTATAGCCTGTATACACACAGCAGAGAATAGATCCCCAAACCTTCCATAGGCTAATTCTACACAAGCAAATAAAAGCTCTGGGCTTTATCTTTCCCACCTGCTCTCCCCACTGAATCCAGCAAGAAAATCTCAGCTCACAGTGCAGAGGTGGTGGTGGGACACTCCCCAGAAGGAAATGCAATTTCAGAGCAATTACCACACGTGATTTGGAATATATTGCAGGGTAAGCAATACCCAGCAATGACTACTGACCATGCTGAATCAAATCCCATATTTAGGACAGCTGGGGTGGGGGGTTTGCTGTGACTTACACGGGAGCAGAAATGGCTCAAAATGTCCCTCGATTCTTGACTGAAATAGTTGCAAAGAATTAGGTAGAAATGTGTTCAAGCTTCAAGTTCCTTCGTGGGAAGGGCTGTCAGGCAGCACTAATATGTGTTTCAATACAAACACACAGATTCACAAAGTTCAGACACACTTTCCAATGGTTTTACTGGATTTGGAATCATAATCACATTCTGCTTTAAAGAAGGGGTGGTTAAATCCATGCCTTTTCCTATCATGCCCAGAAATTGGACACAGGACATTATTTACTCTCATTCCATGACTTACAAGCACGTGCACTGTGAACACGTGCCACTCCATTTTCTCAAAATAAGGAAGTTTAGCCTTAGTAAAGCAGGTAAATAAACTCCAAAAAAATACAGGGAAAACGATTTTACCTTTCATGACGCCAAATTCGGGTTCCACCTCTCCTCCCCAGGCTCTGATAACATCCCCAGTGCAAACACAGGGCAGATCATCCCAGGTGAGCGAGGTCGGTGACACTTCCAGCCTGGCACTGCTCATGCCCTGGCAGGCAAGTCCTGGAGAGAAAGGTCAGATCCCTTCTTAAAGCAAAATCATGGTGTAGCTGTTTAAAAAAGAAAAAAAAACTCAGAAATGGAATGTCAATCTTCACAACGCTCAGTCTGCCTGTTTTGGGGCACAAGCACTCACACAACACCTCATTCTCTCCAGGTGTGCTGCCATCACTAACACAGTCCACGAGATGGGCTGTTCCCGGGCCCAGGTGTCCCAACAAGTGCCCCAAATCCTCTTGTAAAGCTGCAAAGTCTCAGCATTCCCAGCCCAGGAGGAGAAGCTGAGAAAGTGAAAGTGAACATCCAGTAACGGTACAGACAAAAATGCATCAAAAATAAACATTTGTCATTATTTGTAGCCTGATTCTCCTTCCAGTATTTTTGCACTTTTACAGGCTGAATTCTGCATTCCTAAGGATTGCTCTATCTTGAGCAAATTGCATAAAAAATAGTGAGTATAGAAATACAGCTTAAAAAAAAGGATACTGAAGTGAAGTGTATGAGGGCAAATTTATCAGGAAGCCCTCCTGGGCATGGAATAGATCCAGTGTTCCTCACACCAGCCATGCCACTGGAAATTCCCAAACTACCTTATCTTTTCACACCTTTACTATAGTGGGTTTTGTGGGTTTTTTTTTTCCTCAATTCTACTCTTGGCTTTTCAATTCTAGATGGAAAAAAATCATTGAACTAAAGAAGCTGAATACACTGAAATAAAAAACCTGCAAGAGTGCAAAGAGAGTCTGTTTTACACCACCTGATAGACCGTAAATATTAAATATTTATACTAAAATCCATCCTGACCCACCATGAATATCTGAACTAAACAGGCATGCAAAACAAACACTGACACACAAGCCCCTGAGGCTCCCATTTGCTCTCGTTTTAAACTTAAACATCTTAAATAATATCAATGCTTATGGAAAAGTTTTCAGGAGTCTCTGGGGTCTCAGCCACTTGAAATGTCGGCGGTTATTTGTGACTGAACAGAAATATTTTATCTTTCTGTGCTTGGGGACAAAAACCTGTGGTTACTCAGCATTTCAGAGCCACGAGCTCTGCAGGAAAAGGTGATTTCCATCGCCCCCGTGTGCCTAACGCAGCAAACGCCGATTTTCCCCCAAAAAATCCACCCCACAGCCTGGAGAAATCCCACCAGGACTTTGTGATTCACCTGCAGACAGCAGCCTAGTGATGTTCCTACTTCTTTCTGTATGTGTGGCCTCTGGGTTTGGTGGGCATAGGTGCCCCCAGAGCTGCTATTTCACCTGGGGCTCAGCCTGGGCAGGGAAGCAGAGGGGAGCACATCCACCTTCATTTCCTAAGCAGTTTTAGCCTTTATCACTAACCAAAAAGCCCCCATGTGGTCTGGGCCCAGCCTGCCTGGCACCACCTCTGCCCGTGCCAGAGCTCCGGTGGAAATCCCGCCAGTGCCTGGGAGATGATCCATCCCTTCACTCTCCAAAAATCACACACTCCTCAACTGTCACAGGCACTTTTCAGGAAGAAATGGTCTCAGAGAACCCTTTTCATCTGAAAACATCCGTCACCTTTCCCTCACCTCTTCCTGGGAACAGCAGGAACCAGCTGTGTTCACCCATATGCTGATTCCTTCCATTAACCACCCAGAGTCTTAATTCCCAGATGCAGGAAAAACCTGTTAGCATAAGCAATAAATATTGCACTGACATTCCAAACTCTGCCTCTCCCAACTTGCAATTTTCTTCTCATAATTTTTCACACGCACTTGGGGCACTGGGCAAAAGGAAAAGGAAATAAGTTCTGGGTATTTTTAGTCTTGCTGTTAAACAATTCCAGCAAGGGGTACAGCTGGAACAAGGGGGAAGGCCTTCAAACTGATAGAGAAGAGGGTTAGAGTGGATATTAGGAAGAAATTCTTGGCTGTGAGGGTGATGAGGCCCTGGCACAGGTTGCCCAGAGAAGCTGTGGCTGCCCCTGGATCCCTGGAACTGTCCAAAGCCAGGTTGGACAGGGTTTGGAGCAGCCTGGTCTAATTAATACCCAATCTAACCCTGCCCTCCTTCAGCTTAAGGCTTTGTGTAAGCACAAACCCAAGCGTAAGTATTTGAGATCCCCGAAATACCGGTTCCATTGCCAGCACCGGGGCACCATAAAGAGAGGATGACTTTGTGTTAAACCCCATTTTAACTCAGCATCACTGTCACAATTGCCCCCAGGCTGCCCTTGGGAACTCAGCCCGGCAGAACTCTGACCGCTCGGAGACCCCCAGGACACCCTCACGATCCCCCCCGGGACACCCTCACGATCCCCCCCGGGACACCCTCACGATGCCCCCCAGGACACCCTCACGATCCCCCCCAGCCCCCCCGGGCTGTCCCGGCTCCCTCAGCCCCGCTCGGGGCGGGGCGGGCCCTGCGGCTCTCCCGGCACCCGCCAGGGGGCGCCCGCGCCCCGCCCGGCCCCGGCGCGTGCGCACGGCGGGGCGCGCGCGGGCCCGACCCGCCGCCCCGAGCGAGGTGAGGGGAGGCGGCCCCGGCGCGGCCCGCGAGGGGCGAAGGGGGGAGCGGGGAGCCGGGGACGGGCCGGGGCGGGCCGGGGGGAGCGCGGAGGGCGGTGTCCGGGCGGCCGGTGGGACGGCGAGGGGGAAGCGAGAGCGGTGCCGGCAGCGCGGGAGCCTCGCGGGCCCCGCCGGGGCCGGGAAGGGGCGGGGCCGAGCGGGGGGCGTGGCCACGGGGGGGCGCCCCCTGGCGGGGATGGAGGGAAGGGGCGGCCGGGGCTGAAGGGGAATTGGGATTGTGGGATTGGGATATGGGATGTGGGATTGGGATATGGGGTGTGGGATATGGGATGTGGGATTGGGA